TCATCGTTTTTACACTGAGGCCTGGTTTAGTTCCCAACTTTTTCTTCAAACTTCCAACTTCCATCACATCAAAACTTTCCTACAAACATAAACTTCCAACTTTTCCGTCACATCATTCCAATTTCAATCAAACTTCCAATTTTGGTGTGAACTAAACACACCCTGACATAAAATCAAATACGCTCCTTAAATCTTGCATGCACTTTTCTAGAATTTCAATAGAAACTTACTTTGTAGACTTATCTAGCATAACCATACACTTATCTAGCATAACCATTGTGTGTTTCCGATTGATTTGGTGTATGCTTGATAAGAATTAAGAAAACTTGTTTATTCACACTGCAGGCTGTTGAGAGCTTGTCAATTGAGCAACAGAGGCAGCTGCTGTTCTTTTGGACTTCAGTTAAATATTTACCCTCAGATGGTTTTGGTGGGCTGGCCTCAAAACTGTACATATATAAGGTATCTGAGTCAGCTGACCGTCTCCCATCGTCACATACCTGCTTTTACCGGCTCTGCCTGCCTGCTTATCCATCCTTGAAAGTGACGAGAAACCAGCTGCAGAAGATCACACAAGAGCATGTGAGCTGTAGCTTTGGCACATGGTAGATGCCGCCCTTATGGTAATCCAATATGGTAAATTCTGTACATACCCAAGTTAGTGTCGATTTACCTGCCTCAATTGAAGCTAGAAATTAAAAGCAATAGGCTATCTTTTGTTTGTTTTGTACATATTTGAGGTGTTGTGGGCCATTTAATCTAGTTACGCATAATCAGAAGAGAGCAGGTTCCTTTCATTCTCCCTCTTTTGAACCAGGCTTCCATTTTTCATATACTTTCTGGAGAAGTGTGGTGGGAGCATTTGCATCGTGCTATGCTCACAAGCTCTGGAAGCCAGTTAAGGCTTAAACCATGTCATAAAGGTAATTGCAACGTGTAGTAGCCATGTGGCTTGGTGTTCCTGGTGGAGCTGAAATTCTGCATAGAGTCGAGTAGAGTTAAAGTGATCATCTGTTTGTGAATCTGGACAAAATCGGTCACTGAAACTTTGAAGGTATGCGACTCTGCTAATGTGAAGTTAAAACTCGGATATGCTTTGCTGTTTAGTACCAGCAGGCAGCAGAAATTTTCTGGGAATCAGCCAGAAACCGGTGTCTCAGCAGCTGACAAGTGATATGGACCATACTCTGCCTGAACATATGGATTCCAACGATGTCTTTGGTATATGAATCACAATTATATGTTGACAACTACACCCGGTGGAATCGGATGCCTAGTTGATGTGTATTCACACCTTTCAAATGTTTTGCATCTGTGAGAGAAATTCCATACCAAATCCCGCTGAAACTCTGGCAAATTTCCACGGGATGCTTGTGCACGGTTGCACCTACAGTTTCTCCACCTTTGCGAGCCGCCGATGGAGAGATCATTGCTGCACTCTAATCATCTATCCTCTGATTCATTTTGATTTCACTCATCTTCCTCCCCTCTTCAACATTTTGTACAACCAATGAAATGCAGTTACTTGGCAGCGCTGAAACACAAATGCCGAATAGTTTTGATATGACGCAATTGCCTCATAATTCTGACATGACACTTGCATTGATCCCCCTGTGATTTCTTCTGTGGAACCTTTGAGAGGTGAATCTGAATCATTTCTATCCTCAATGAAATTGGCAGAGCTCCTGCATTTCCCCCTAAAAAAAAAACACTTGCATTGATCACCTTAGCTTATCACAGAGCAAGAGCTGATTGCATGGGATTAATGTACAAACATCATGATGCCATCCTTAAATAGGTACTCCACCGTACTAAAGTAAATCAACTCCTAACTATAGGTATGCCCAAAGCTAGAATTTAATTCCTTTTGGACGGAAGGAGTAGGGTTCACGATCAAGGGCCCCTTTGATTCATGAACCCGGAAATGAGCTATTCTTGTGAAAACCCAATAAAATTCCCATATTTCAAATAAGGCCCATTTTTATATGTGGAGAAAATCATAGGATTTTTTGGATTTCAATCCTATATAAAAAAAGTAGGAAGTCGTTTATTTCCCAATCATTTTCATTGAAATTCGTAGGATATCCTAAGACTTTGGAGAAAAGTTTAAAGAAGCTTCAACATGTCTCTTATCCGATTAATGCATTTTTCATGTTGTCTACTCAAACAATCATTCTTGTATGTTTTGAGCTTATCCTTCCTATTTCTCTATTTTTTTCAATCCCGTGTTTAAAAAGAGACCTAAACATGAAGTATTTATGGAGCTCGATTTATCTTAAGATATCATACGCATACACTGCCACCATTGCTGGTCGCTTCGCTTTCGACATTTCGGTAGGTTCACCGACGGCGAGAAATGATTGACACATGCACATCAACGGATGAGATCGGGCACACAAAGCACAGTGATAATGTACTCTCAGAACGTGACACACCCATATATACACGACGAACCGATCAAAACAACAACACACAAGACGGTAGGTTCACCGACGGCGAGAAATGGTTGGCACACGGCCATGAACGGCTGAGATCGCACACACATAGAGACAGACAATGTACTCTCAGAAACGCACCCATTACACGATGAAAACCAATCAAACACGAAAAAAAAAAAGCACAAAAGACCGACAAACAACGCCTGCGACGACGGAGGCATGTGGGGGCCAGAGAGGGGCACCGCGTCACTGACGCTGGGCCCCACCGCCCTCGATGACAAACTCTTTTATTTAGCCCCACGTCACGCGTACCCACACACACCTACGGAGTCGAGTACTACCACTCCAGCTCACTCAACTCATCACTCGCTACACGCACACGTACGTACAACTCCGGCGAGTCGCCGGCGGCGGCGGCGCGCGCGGGCCATGCATGTACTCCACGGTGTACGACGACGGCGAGCCAGCCTTCCCCGGCATGCACTCACTCGCTGGCCTTCTCGGCCTCCGGCTCCGCGACCGGCGCCGCCTCCTCCACCTTCACCTCCTCGGCGGCCGGCGCCGGCGCCGCCTCCTCCTCCTTCACCTCCTCGGCCACCTGCGCCGCCGGCTCGGCCTCCTTGGCCTCCGCCTCGGCGGCGGCGGCGGGCTCTGGCGCCACCTCCTCCTTGGCAGGCTCGGCCTCCGGCTCGGCCGGCTCGGGCTCGGCCTCCTTCACCTCCTCCGCCGCCGGCTCGGCCGCAGCTGGCTCCGCCTCCTTGGTCTCCGCCACCTCGGCCTCGGCGGGCGCCGCCTCCTCGGCCACAGCCTCGGCCGGCGCCGCCGGCGTCTCCTCCTTCGGCGCCTCCACCTCGGCGGCGGCGGCCGCCGGCGTCGCCTCCACTGGCGCCTCCTCGGCCAGCACGGTGGTCGGGGTCTCAACCTACACATCGATCCGCGCGACGAGATCAGCACAACACGATGATCAATCAACAAGATCACATAATTTTCACATATTTTCCTAGCCTAATCAATAATTAACCATTTTCAATGATGATTAACAAGCAGATCAACGAGCTAATTAATTACCTCTACGGTGGCCATTGATGTCGATGAGGTGTGCTTACTAATACACCAAGAAAAAAGTATATATGTGTGTGTATAGTAGAGTGGTCAGCTAGAGGAGCAAGAGAGCTAAACTGATCAAGTGTCCAGCTCAGTTTGTGTGTGTGGAGCTTTGCACTGAGGTGGAGGGCTATATATAGTGCCCTCACAAGGGTCAGAATGGGAAAAACACACCATGCCCAAAGGATTAAAATAATTCAGGATTAAGCTCAACTTGTAACTCCCATCCATCTCATGCAAATTCGTGATCAGGAATCTTTGGTACATGTACTACATGTCATGCAAGAATGCAACCAAAAGTTGGCCATGAGTCATGGCACATGGAAAGTGTCCAAAAGGGTGCAACAGTGCAGGGAGTGCTGTTTGTTTATTTATTTCACTATATTTTCACTAACATTTGTGTGATGGATCAGAGGGATCATATCATCACAGATCCATATAAATGGCATGCATACACACACAGTCACTCGGTACAGAGTTGTCACAGATGGATCGATCAGTGTGCCCAAGAAAAGGGCCAAGTGAGAGCTGGCCAACCAGCTAGCCTGGCCACAGTGGCAGCAAGTTGGAGATATAGCTTTTGAGTTGTACCCAGGTTTATCTTTCCGACGGACGGTCGGATCCCGACTCTATGAATTTGACAAATTTTGACTAAATTTTGCTCGAAAGTAGCAGTTCAGTTTTGAATTTATTAAAAAAACATTTGGAAATTGCATCAAAATATGCTTTTATCCTGCGTTGAAACCTTAAAATTCCACGGTTTTCAGCTTGTTTATGTCGAAACTATGAATCCTAGTTGTACTCCCCTGCTCCTAAATATAAGTATTTCTTGCTATATAGTTGTGCATAGGTAGAAATGCTTTTGTTTATGGACGGAGAGGGTACTAACTAAGCTGTTTGTGCTCAGTGCATGCAGGGCTTTTAGGTGTACATCTCAGTGTTCCTGCACGTTCTGCCTGCGCCCCAAATCAGTCTGAGATTCGATCGAGATCTTTAAAAATTTTGATCGTGTAAAAATTTTGATCGGGGAGACGATTGAATTGATTAGGGTTTGTTTTGTACGAGATTAATTAGTGGTGGCATGAACAGAGACGGTAT